GGTTCAAATGTGACTCTTCTTGCTGATCAGGTGTTCAATCTATAGTTTCTATTGTTGTATAGTACTGGACATGCTCTCATATTTTGAAATTGCAGAACTCTTGAATTGGAGCTGCTTAAACTTTCTTTTTGTGGTCATGGGAGAAACCATTTTTTTAGTAAATCTGGCATTGAAGCTGCTAAAATTTGACTAAATTTAATTAACCAAATTAGGTTGACTGGGATAGGAAGTACGGTGGATTTGAGTGATGAGATTATTAGTGTGATGATATTAAGTTGGAGCATAAGATAAATGCGTTTGTTTGTTTGTTTGTTTGTATACTAGTATGGTGCTATTTCTTGGTTAGTCCTCATCACATAAAAAGTGGCTTTCTTATTTTTGTAAATTGGGGGCAAATTAGTCTTTTCACATTCAATCCCATGAGATTGGATTAGCAATCCCAACCCTGCCATGGGAATGCTAATTTCGCCCTTGAGGGGGATTGTAGTCCCATGGTATTTTATCACAACCAGGCATGATTTTGGTGGGGCCCCTAGATTGTTAATCAGTCCCACCCTCTAAGAGGCCAAACAAATGTTTCCTAAAAGGCTAGTCCCTTAATCTGTCAATTAAGTCTCTCTTTTAGATTTGATAAGCTTTCATACAGAAACTAACTTTAGCTGCTACATGGAGTTGCATATATGTCATTAAATTCCTGCAGTGCACACATAAAAAGGAAGAAAAAAGTGGAACAAAGTCCAAGCCTAGTAGATTAAAGAGTTTCAAGAAATTGGCCATAGCATTTCTAATAGACAGTTATCATACGTAATGATTGGTGCTCTTCTATTGTTAATTTGTAAGTACTATTTATTCCATTTATAAAAAAGACATTCTCTTGAAGCTAACATGATCCAACAATGGGTTCTACAAGTGCCAACCCTTTTCTTAATAAATTGCATTCCTGGTTCTATTCTCATTATTGTTTCATCACAAGTCATGCACTAGATATAGGTTTTTGTTCACTGCAGAAACTTTGTTGATAAAACATTTTTCATCGTGTAGGTCAAGACATTCAAACCTTAATTAGTTGTTGTTAGGAATGAATCATTGGTTGATGAGCTCAAAGAGGCTTTGGCAGATGTTGAAGACAAGCTTGAATTTATTCCTAGCGAGCAAGGTGCCATTGAGGTTAGCCTATCTAGTTTCCTCACCGCTCACTCCTTACTTGTTTTTCTGAAGAAAGTTGTAATTCTCATTACTATATGGATATTACATGTAATTTGTTTCTAAGTTGCTCGCCACCCAGATGCTATCACTGTAGTCACAAAATAGTAGGTTGCGCAGGTTTGAAGATAAATTTACAAATCGTTTGGCTTAATTGTTTTTCCTTTTATCTTTCATTTTGGACAATTTTAGCCGTAACATATAGAGCCCATCTTTGATCATGATACTGAGATCTTCTGGTTTAATTTTGATTTATGTATGTGAAATGCATCACATAAAGTAAGAGTATTAACTTTTGGGGCAATTACTTACCAGTTGGACAGATAAAAAAAAATTAAAAAACCCCAAATATGGAGGGTTGCAAGTGAGATTTGCAGTCGCACAGTTTTTCACTTACACCCCATCACATAATCATTTGTACCGCCAATGTTTTTGTAATTTTTTTTTTGTGCGACTGTAAAGTAATTCCCCCTTAACTTTTTATATACAAAAGGACATGAGGGATGGCTTTTTATTCACTAACACATATATTTTGTGTTTCAGATAGATTATGCCTGTCAAATTCGTAGTTTCCAAATAGGAATAGTTTAGGAGCTCTTAAAAGTCCATGTATAGTTGGACCCAATCCTATGTGAATCTATGTGTGCTACCCAATTTATACTTTTACTTCTCTACTGCATTGAGTTAGCATTTAAACCCCCAAAACCATATCTACCTCATCATTTCTCCTAACCTAAAATCATATCTTACCAACCTTAAACCTTTCCTTTTAAATCCTTCAACTCTAACCACTACACATCATTGAAATCAACTGCTTATTAATATTCACGGCCGTACTATCACAGCTCCAAACTGTTGCCTCTCTTTGTAAAATCATAGCCCTAAACTCTTCCCCTTCTCTTGTATCCAAACAAACCCTTAAACTCTATTGTTTTGCCCACTAGTTGCAACAAAATCTTAGCATAATCAGTCTCTAAAAAACTTTTCTCATCACTGCCCAACATGAATTTTTTGGCATCAGAATTGTTGAAATCTGCCTCCGCCCTGCTCATACTTCATACATCAAATGGTTAGTAAGTTCATCATGTCAATGTGCAACTTATGATATGGTAAGGACGGATTGTTGATCCTAATGTAGGTGTTGCCTTGTTAACATTGATAAACATTAATCTAAATACAGTAATACATAATTATAGTACTTTTCAACAAACTTTAGTACCTTAAAGAAGATAGAACATAAACACCAGAAACTCTTAACGATTTGATGGTGCCAAAAATAAGAGACCAAATAATTGAAGAGCTTCATTTATCAAACATACCTCAAACCAAAAACCAATTACAAAGGAACATGAAGGATTTGTTTCTTAAACAATTGGAATTTGTTTTTAGATAATAACAGATGCTTGTATGACTAACAGCTAGAGAAGTGCTCAATTGGAATTTGTTTTTAGATAATAACA